TTCTGCCCAGGAGAACTTTTACAATCTTTTCTCCAATGCCCAATGAAGTGTGTTTGTGTCTGAAAGCTTGCAATTAAAGAAATTTTTTTTGTAAAAATCTTATTGGTCTAATAAAAGTTATGATCTCTACTTAAGAGTCCTGATCATCTTTTCCTCTAGACCAATACGTCTACAACCTGAATAACCAACACAATTTTACGCAACTTGTTTTGTTGAGGTTTTGACCCTTTTTAAAAACTCTATCTGCTTTTTCCCTCTGAAATTCAGTTAATAATGATACTGTAATATCATTCATGACACCAGGATGGACAGAGTTTAGTAACATCCAAAAAGCCAGTGCAAGGTCACTAAGGAACAGTTGAAGATTCACACCCTGAAATATAGTATAAAGACAAGGTATGGATATTGCTATATATAAGGAATGATACCGCTCAGGTTAATGGAACTACAATTGCAACAGAACTGATGTGAGAGGAGAATTATACCTTTTGTTTGTGCAAAAGAGGCACTCATCTTACAAATACCATGGTATTCTATCTGCTGGACTAATCAAGCATTAACACACAATAAGGCATGTAATTGCATTGAAAATGATACTTCTGGCTCTACATGTCAGACCAAAGATCAAATCCTTTAAATGTTTTTCTAGTGGTATATGGTTGCACAACTTAAAAATATTATATAGTAATGCATTATATTAGCCTATAGGCTTATAGTTGGTGTCCTAGGCAAACCACACATTTGTACAATCACAGCTAGTTAGTATCCCACTATAAAAATGCTAATTGAAATTTGTGTGTTCAAACACCAACTAGATATCCTCTAAAAATAACTTTTTAATCTACCCAGTTCAAATTCTGTAGATGTATTTATTTCAAGAAAACTATTGCTCACAGAAGTAACATTTGTATTTGAAATTCAAGAATAAACTTAGTCCTGCATCAAATCTGATCATAAAGATAAAAGTCAAACAATAATACTAAACTGCATTGAGAACTTTTTAAAAAACCTGAAATTTACCTAAGAAAATGAATGCAGAACCAAGGAAAAAACCTTTATAGTGTCAGATAATTCCTTCAGCATTAATAGAACATTTTTTCCAGGTTGAAAATGCATTCTTCATTTTTAACTGACAGCTAGCTAAACAGGTATGCAGCAAAAAATCTATAAAAGGTTTCTAAAATAACAAGCTGGGTGTAAGCTTCTGTTTCCTCCTTCCCCAGCTTCAGAAATGAGGTAGAGTCATTAGAAATATCTTGTAGATTCTGTACAAGGCTGAAGTGGTAACCATGTCTGGCAGCAGGGACGTTACAATACTTTCTGAAACAGGAAAAGTATAGTCCTTGGTTTACTCTTCAAACATGAATAGGAGTAATAGTATTGGAAGCAACTACCTGTATGATACTCTCTTTCTGCTACTAGTATGAAAGTTGATACATACCTAGGAATCTGCCCCATCACTCTGGCTTCTTTCCTTTCCACCCTACTTGAACCAGCTCTTCACATGCATAGATTGCTTCCTCCCAGCCAGTTTTCAGAGCCTACACTCCAAATTCACCTCTTCGGCTTCTCTGCTGTCTCTTCCTCAGCTCCCACTACCTTTCTGGCTATTCCTTCATTGTCCGTCTTAGTGCATCCTGCTCTTCTCTTTACATTTTCCTTTGGCAGGTCCACCACACAGTGCTTTCTTTTCTAGTCTCTTCTTTTTTGGTCTGTCTCTACATCCTCCCCCCAGCCATCATCACCCGCTTGTACATCTCTACGCTGACATCACAAAGCCTACTACCTGATTGGTCTTCCTTCATCCAATCCTACACTATCATCAGCTTCACTCAGTTCTCCTCCTGGAAGTCTTACCATCAACTCAAATTCACAATGGGTGAACAACCAACTCATTCTCCAAATCCCTCTTCATTCCCTACTATTCTGTTACTGCTGAATTCAAACTCATTATCATTCTTCCCCAGACTTTTCTGTGACTTCGGGATCTAAACACAAGCCAAAAAGCAATCCATATTTCACCACTTCCTCTACACAACATTTTGAATAGTCTTTCTATTCTATTTATGCTAGATAAGTTCTCAGGCAAGCCCACATCATCTACATCAGGGGCAGTCTATTATTTCGGGTGGAGGGCTGCTTACTGAGTTTTGGCAAGCAATCAAGGGCCGCATGACAGGCAGCTAGGGGAAACTAAATATTAATTTTCTAAATTTTTTAGGATCCTCACAGGCCAGATAGAATGGCCCAGTGGGCCACATTTTGCCCACCCCAATCTACACTCTGAATATTGTAGTTGCCTAACAGGGCGGTGTGAAACTTTGGTCCCCGATTTGATTCAGAGGAGATTTGGCCCAATTTGGTGGCCAAATCTCCAAATCCAAATCAAACCAGAGGACCCTTTAATCTTCCTAAATCAAACTGAAACCCTCCAAATAGATTCGGAGAGATTCAGAAAGATTCGGCGATTCGGACATAGACACAGCTTTAAATGTATTTTCTACATACCTGTAAGTAGCAGGCAGCTTGTGGATGCTGCGAGGCTGTGGCACATGGAGTGTCCCACAGGAGTGCAGGGGGCTCCCCAGCGTGCTTGGCAGCAGACCCGGAAGTGGACCAGAAGCACTTCTGGGTCCACTGGGGAGTGCGCAGGCCCCCCCCCCCCGCTCAGCCACTGGTGCCTTCTGGGTCTGGGGGGGGCACCTGGGGGGGCCACCCGGCATGATCCCCAGTGGACCCGGAAATGGGCCGGAAGTACTTCTGGCCCACTTCCGGGTTAGCCACCAAGCACGTGGCGGGCCAGCCAGCACTCCTGTGGGATGCTTCATCCACCCCAGCATTGCAGCATTCACAAGCCATGCTGGTACCTCAAGGTATGTAGAAAAAACTTTTAAAGCTATGTCTATGTCCAAATCACTGATTCTCTGAATCAGCATCGAATCTTCAGATTCAGATTTGGCTGAATCAAATCAGGTACAGTGATCTGAATCAACAAATCAAATCACTGTCCCTGGTTCGGGCCAAATCCGAATCCAAATCAAATAGGGCCTGCTTCGCACACCCCTATTGCCTAACTCTCTTATACCCATATTAACTGTCATTCCATTTAGGTAAAACACTGGCACCACAATCATCTTCCTGGCCTGTTGACAGACCATGTATTACCCTCTCCTCCTCCAATTCTCACCCTCTCAATCCCTCCATTGGCTTCTTCTCCATGGCATCTAATTCAGGTTTCATGTCATTGCCTTCCTGATTTCCCTGACATTACTGACTTAGTAATTTATTGTATCATTTTCCAGTCCACATTACTCTGCTAATAATGCTAATCTCAATATCTTGTGTGCCTACTCCTTCCACAGCCACCTCCACCTATAGCTCCAGAGTGGTCTGTTTATATTCTTTTTTTTTTTTTAATTAAAATTTTTAAATAATCAAAACAATTCCTGAAAGCTGTAATCTTAACAGGCAATCTGCATTTGGTTGTCTTTTTCTTTTTGATAAGGACTAAGGACCTTGTTATACCTTACAGTGTGAGCCGCAATGTTGATTGGTGTTAGTGCTAACTTGGAGTTTGGAACAGTCACACCTTTAGTCTAGAAACCTTCTCTGACTCTCCCCCATTTGAACAGCTGGGGCTTTCCATTAGAGGCCTGGTAAGTAGAGACAGAAGAAGGAGCTGTAGCTGTAAGTTCCCACTACAAAGCTGATGAGCCAGGACAGTCTTCTATCCTGTTCTATGGGTGGAAATTCGAGAGAGATCCTGGGATATTGGAGGACTTCAACTTGGGCAGTACATCTGTGGAGAGTGGCCAGACCTTAATGAAACAGGAGCTGGGTTGTGCAGATCAGAGGTAATCCTGCCCTGGAGTGGTGTAACTTTGAGCCACGTAACAAGTGCTTAAAACCATTTTAAGGTGTAAATGTGCAGACAATCCAAGGGTTAAGAGCTCCAAGAGCTGCCCAAAATTACAGTGTAACAAGGCCCTGAGATGCAATCTTAACTGCTTGTTTTTCTGCAGTGATCTAAGATTAAGGGAGCCTCTTCAGGTTTCTGTAGTGCAACAGTGCCACCTACAGACCATGCTAAGTGTGGTTCTTAATTTGACTCAAAAGACCCATTCCAGGATTTCAATATGCACAGAGTTCTAGAAAGGATTTTACTCACAGTCTACAAGCAGAATCTGGCCCACAAACACTAAAAGAGCAATATGTTTTCATAAATAAATAAATTGTAAAATAGAGCTAATCAAATCTCATGCATCAAGGCATGAATGGATCCTATGAGTTCCTGCATGTTCATTGTATTAATTCCTTTAAATTAAATGATTCTGTGTACCCTTCTTATACCAACCCAAAAGCAACACTACATACATGCAGGCATTCACTTAAACCAGTTGAGGTAATAGAACCTAGACAGAAAGCTGCATATTACTAGTCAGACCAACATTTAATCTCTGCCTACCTATTTTGCATTTATGAAACTAAAAATAATCATATCCTTCATAAATGGTCAATCTGTGTTCAAAGTTACAGCACTGGTGAATTATCTTGGAACACAAATTACAATTTATCAAAAATTATTGCAAGGAAAAAATATTAAGCGCTGGGAAATTTTTACCATTAAAATCTAGCATGCTGACAGAACCTGGGTTTTGTGTTTTTAATCATTCATACTATAATGGGGAAAACATATTCTTAAAGATGAGACAATTTACATGAATAACTTGGCCAATTTCTCAAGCTATTTTAAAGGGCCTTCTACATTTAGGGTAAGACCTGTCTGCTCTCCAAGTCAGCATCAGATCAGACTAAATATATTAAACATCATCCTTATAATAAAAATCCTCCCACTGGAGGAGGAATGTACCTCAAGTGCAGCTATTCAACTTCATCCTGAGATACATTCCCATACTGCTTTGGACCTTGATCTTCTTATACAGATGACAGAAAAGCAACATGTTCTAATTCATACGGTGGACAAAAAATACTTTACTCACCCACTGTCATGCCATCCATATAGCGTTTGATGATGTCAAAAGAGTCCCTCAGATTTCCTTCTGTTATGTCAAATATGATATCTGCCTGGTTGGCTGGATATGCAGGTGTAATGGCACGGAGAAAAATAATCTCTGAGAAAAGCAGCACAAATTTTATTACAGGGCAATGACAGCAACTTTGACATCACTATAATATGATCAAGACAAGTATCTATAAGTTCTCAATTTTAATTGTGTAGAACAAAAGATTGTTTTATTTGAAAATTAGTTAAAATGTTTATTTTGTTCTTCTTCCTTTTTGAATGGATACAGCAACATTTTTTGGTGAGGGCTTATGGAGTTCATCCAGATTCTGCTGTTTCTTCTTCTTTTCCTATCCTAAGGCACCATTTTTACAAGCCCTGCAGTCAAGGGCATGAAGTCTTTTGAAGCCTGACCAGACCACTTAAAGTATCTATCACCACTGGAGCATAGTGACTAAAGGGAACCATGAGCTTTTCCTTCAACTCAGGGTTGAGTATATTTATTACAGATGAATCTATTCTAAAATCTCTTGGAGAACGACTGTGAGGAATCCCAGAAGACTCTGGGCCTTCTTTTACATCAGTCAATAGGGGTTTTGAAAACAGATGATAAAACTTGCCATGGCACTACAAGGATCTCCAACAACGATTAAATATGCTATGGAAACCTAACAGGAAACTAGCAACTAAGTACAAGTCTTCTACTGAGACAAATAGCCCTTTGGAAAAGAATCACATCAGATAGGAGGTAAAGGAGAAATCTTCATGTGCCTTATGCAGATGAAAGCCAAGGTTTTACATCCAGATCTGAAAGCATTATTTAATGCTCACCCTGCACATGAGCAAAATTTCATTCATCAGTGTGCAGGCAGTTTTGAGTGAAGTCAGCAGAAGCTGTGTACAAAGGTCAAAGAATAATATTTGGCCTCAAGTACAAGTTCTGTGTCAAAAGTGAAAGTAATGTTCATGTAGGGCCTTTATACATGCTACAAAAGTGGCCTTTAAAGTGGCTTAAATGCCCTTTTGCACCACTTCAATGGCATTGCTGTTTGCATGTTTGGTGGCATATTCCACTTTAAATGACTTTGGTAAGTAGCAAGATAAAACACCTCCAAACATGTTTTAGTTTGCTACCTAACAAAATGCAACAGTGCATGGGGTGCTGGAAGCTGATGTGCCTCGGGCTTGGCAGGCCCTGCGCAGCTCAGGGGCTGTGGGACTCAGTGGCAGCCTGTGCAGGCAGGCTCCACGGAAGAAAAAACATTTTAAAAAACAGCAAGCCTGATCTTTTTTTCCTCCCCAGAGCCTGCTTGCCTGCCTGAGCTGTGTGGGGGCCTACTTTGCTCCAGAACTGCAGGGGACCCAATGCTTCCTTCCATGGCTGTGGAGCCCCCGGGACCACCCGGGCTGGGTGCCAATGGGAGTATGCCATCTTGGGGGCCCCCACACGGTTCAGGGACAGCTTATCCCTTTCCCCCCACTGCTGAAGAGGCAGGTAAGGATCGAGCTCCCACCCTTGTATACATGCCATGGGGGTTTAGAGTTCAGTATAATTCTCCCTTAATTGAAGTGGTGCTTTTAAAAGCCCACTGTTTCAATTTAGGGAGAACTAAACTGAACTAAACTCGTGGCATGTACGAGCAGCCAAAAGGTGCAGGACTAGCAGTCCACAGGTGCACAACTTAAGCAGTAAAGCCTCTTTATATTGCCCTACCAAAAGATGACAACAGTGGACAGGGCCTGCTCTACGTCTTGTCTATGACAAAATGCAAGGGTGGATCCATGCGGTGCTGATTTTTATGATGTAGAATATTTTAACCATACAAAGACCAACAATTCATTTCATGTTGTTAACCAAACAACGAGACAATAACAAGATTTAACCACTACTGCCTGACATTGAATTTGAGTCAGTAACTTGGAGACAAAGGGCAGGATTTTCAAAGTGAGCCATCTGATTTGGGAGCATAAATCCTATTAACTTTCAAAGATTTTTTGTACTCCTCATGCACTTAGGTGCTTTTGAAAATCTAAAATGAAAATTTCTATAATTCCTATCAACCCTTTACAGTTTCTATTAGTTAATTTAGTATTTAAATATGAAAGGTATGTAACCATTTTTCCAATTGGTCAAAACTGACTGAAAAAGTGCCTATTAATTTTCATCTTTAAAACAGAATGAATGTTGGCCCGGTCAAATTCAATAGGAGCTGACTGTTGATTTTGATAACTTTTACCTGTGAAAAGTGGTGACTTCTCTCTTTCATCTGAAAAAAACCTTTCAAACCTTTTTTTGAAATCAAAATAAACATACAAACAACCCCTTCCCCCCAAAACAAATAAACAAACCCTCAGACCAAAACGAAACAAAAATCCCCAAAGGTCTAATTTATATTAACCCCATTCCCATTTTATACTATTTGAACAATATAGAGAGATCTGAATGTAAATGAGAACTCTAGACTAATTCCTTTTCTAGGCTGGAGACCTGGGTGAATTACAGCTACAACTGACTCTTACCCCACAAAGTTATAAACTTCTGAGTACAGAGGGTTTTAATTAAATAAATGCAATGCTATAATTTGGGACTGTGCAAGTATTTTACTGATTCTGGCTTTAAGCAGTGATTTCCATTTCCAATTCATTTTTTAAAACATTGTAGACTATTAAATAGAAGGAAGAACTAACCACTAACCTTCAGGTCTTGTGAATTCTCTGAATGTAGGTAGCGAAATGACAGTGTGAGAAATTGTGTGGACTGGATCCAGAACACAGTTGACATCGTTTGGTCGGCAAGACTTGATGCAGCGAATAGTATCAGTCTTTTCAAGTCTGTATCTAAGAGAAATGAGAGAGAGAAATATTTACCTTGAAAGTGAATTACTTTGTTTTGTAAGATAGGGAATTAAAAGCTACAGTGATTCCAAGTATTCACTCTTTACTTCAAATTTTTAACCAACCAATAATAATTAGAATGAGAGTATTATAGGATCATTTAGTTTGGCTGAGAGCTACAGTCAAAAAATCCTCAACTATATACATCTCTAAACCTCAGGACATATATGTAGCAATGAGAGAAAACTGATGATGTACAAGATACCCATGAAAAGTAGTTTTCCAAACACAAGCTGGTGAAATCAGCCTGGCTTCACTGACTTCAGTGGAACCATGCTGATTTACATAAGATTCAAATCCAGCATTCAATGTTCAATTTAGTATTGGACATTCATCCAAAACATAGACACATTTATCTGGTCTAGAAATCTGGCAGGAAACATCATGGGGCCTGTTACTCCATATGATCTTTTGTACAGCAAGAGCCAAAAAAGCCCTCTGTCAAGCCTTTTCTGTATCTTTCTCTAATCTGAGGAAACAAAGTAGAGTGTAAACCAGGGAACAAAGTTAACCAAATCGTTTCAAATCTCAAAGGTTTTATTTTAATTTTGGGGATTTAGAGTCATCTCATATTCTGTCTCAACTTGCTGCTTCTCCCTCATTCCAAGCCTCTTTGATATTAAAGTACAACTTCTCACTCTTGTATAACTAGATTGAATTAAGAGTCGCTTAGATTTCAAGAATGTCATACAATGCCTGGTCTGTGTTCCCTGAAGATGAAAGGACTGTTGGAACTTGAAATGTCACTAAGTCTTGCAAGTGAGATCAACTTTGACCCGACCATTTCTCCACGTTTTCAAGCAGAAAAAGAAGTTGGTTACAGTCTCATATTTCTTAGTCAGAGTAAGCAAGACTGAGAGAAAACATCACATAGAAGAGTAGAAGTAAAAACTGAAGCTTTAGTCTGTTGACTATCTCTAGGGAAAAAAAAAACGTATTCCTATTGCTTTCAAATATGATGGCAAAGCTCATACCTGGAAATCATATTTTTTCAACATGAAACTCAAAATAGATATCGTAGCTCTTAAAAAACCAGTAACATTTTTATAATTGCTCAAGCAAACAAATCTGTACATAATAATTGTGTGTATAATAAAGTGTGCATGAAAGAAAAACATAAATCATTATTGAAGATACTGAACTCAACACATGTAGCTGGATATAGCCCATATGAATTAAATAAAACAAAGCTAAATTACAACTGAAGATCTGACTCATTATTTTTAATTTAAGGTTCATGTCTTAGGATTTCAGACCATCACTATAGGAGTGTTCCCGCCTTCTCCCTAAATACTACACTAAGTAATTTCCAAGATGAGTTATGGGGTAGAAGGGGAGTGTAAGTGCCTTCTGCTAGAACGTCCGATGCCACCCATTTTGCTGTGTGGTATTTCTAAACTGGATGCAGCAGTGAGCTGATCCAGTACGACAAATCCTACACCCTTGTCTTTTCCACGATTTAGCTTCTCTGCAGAGTAGAAGAAAGGGAGCTGAATACACAAGATGCTGCAGCATGCTGGAGCATTCTGATTGTATTAGAACATATTCTAATCAGAACATGTTGGAGCATGTGTATAGGTGTACTCAGATCCCAATCTAAATCAGCCCATTTCAGGAATGAAGTAAGTAGAAAAGGACTGAGACAAAACACAGACTGTAGTAATCCATGCCAAATGACCAAGTATACAGGAATTTAAGACAATAATAAAGAAAATAAATTAGTACACAGTAATGCATGCAAGAGCCTACACACAGATGTGCAGTCTTCTCCCATGCGAACCTCCACAGCTGGAATCAAAGTAACTATGTCAGCCTGGTTTTACTTCCAGCAACAATCTTTAGGTTTATGAAATATTTCTAATATCTTTCTTCATACAATATTAGCACTACAGTGCTGACTACAAATGCTTGATCTAGACATTTTACTGATGCTTACAGGAATGACCTAACTCATTTGGCAGCTTCCTTACTTAAATGCAACCCTCCAAAACTTATGCCAGCACAATGCCTATAACACAGGGTTGCACATTTTAATGTTCTATTCAACATTATCCAGCACGCACACAGAGACACCTGGTGTTGGAATTTCAAAAGCATGAAACATTGGCCGGACTGATCTCATTAGCATCAGTGGAAGCTTTCCCTTTGATATTAACAGGAGTACTGTCAGATCAATACTGATTTTCCTGAAATTCTCCCTTCTCCCCACTGTGTATTTAGATGTATTTTATACAATAAATCCCAATGCAAGAAATCATAATTTGTCAAAGCTGGAGTCCTACATAAAGCCCTTAGTTCTAGCTTTACTCTTGAACCAACAAGGATAAACATTCAGCCAGCAATTAGGTTACATGTTTACAAAAGCAACATAATCTTCATGATTATTAGCAATTTCACATCAGAGGCTTTATATCAAATTTCTTTCCAGTCTCTGCACCTTATGACTTTTTTTTGGCAGACTTCCAATTCCAGTGTCATTCTGTCTTACCTTCATCTTTCTCATCATTCATGCAGATTCTTACCATTCTTTTCTGTCCCTAGGCTAAAAATCTGGTTCCTTCACTTTGGCCTCCCTAACTTTTCCTCCTCTGACCTCCTGTATTTCAATACCTGTCAATTGCTATGGTATTTTCAGAATGCAGCATCTGACATCACTTTCTTGTTCTGAACCACAAAACCCCTGTCCTCAGGCCCTCATCTCTCAAGAGCAACCCATTTACTTCTGCACCTACCTTCTACTCTTTCTCCTCACCTCCAAAACTGCACACTCCTCTATGTTCTGTGCTTTACATTTCGAATCATTTTTTTACCCAATCCTGTGTTCTTCTGACTATTTTCCTAAATATTTAATGTGCTCTCCTCTCACATTTACCTCCATCCATATGGTTGCTACATTTGGAGCAGGTTCCTTCCTCTGTGCCAAAACGTTTCCTTCTGAGAATCTTTTTCTCCCTTTCAGTTTGCTTTCTAAACACTAATCTCTGCCTTCATGCAGTCTGCTATTTGCTTCATGCCTGTTCCATTTAAAAAGGGGAAGAGGAAGCAGAAGAAGAAAGAAAGAACTTTATTTCTCAGAATACTTTATAAATAATGCTTTCCTCTTTCCACTCAAGTTCTTTTGCCATTTCTGTTTACAGCTTAATTTAATTAGTCAGATCCTCTGGCCAGAAACCTTGGTTTCATTCTCATCTGGAAAGAACCAGGAGCATCCAGAATGCCATATCATTATATGAATTTAGAAGTTCCAAGTAATCTGCAGTGTGCATCAAATATGACACAGTCCGGGCTCTGAATTCTTGCATTGCTTGTTAAAGACACACAATAAAATGGCAGTATATTGTAGCATCTTCTAAGACTTCAGTTCTGGCCCTCCATTCTTTTTCTGCCAAGTAACTGCATAGTAATGCTGAAAAACTTAATTTAGTTTTTGGCTATCTAAATTGATTGTGGCCCCAGAGACCTGTATAATGAGCCTACAGCTACATTTTGGGCATCCACAGGCCTACCTTATCAATGGGATAAGAAACTCCTTGAGCCCATGATATGGGTTTCTGTTTTCAGTATTTAACATTTTGATTGTACCCACACTGATAGACTCCTGTTTCTTCACAAGGAGGAGCTATCAAGGTCATTACAAATTGGCACCACTGCTGGGACTTGAAGTCCTGTCAACCATTTGGGATTAACTTTGCCTATGAAATCATGCAACATACTGGCTAGCTGTTATGATTATATCCCAGTGAAGTCATTTGCTCATGTTGAGGATAAGAATCTGAAGTGTACAGCTAGGAGGAATCAATCCTTGGACTCAAGCAGTTGAGGCCTTGTGATCTTGGTTTCAAAGACCATAAGTTCTTATGTTGATGCTGAATCTGGTGTCTCTATTTACGTGGTAATACATATGATGTATACACATCTATTCTAAAACCATGCAGAACAGCTTACTCCTGGCACAAACAATCAAGGATAAATATATGTAAGGCTATGACCGTGCCAGGAAGAATGCCTATTAAAAATATATATGGATCATAACCCCACGCCAATCTTTAATGTCCTGTTAGCACCACATGTACAAGCATTAGAGAGTAAACTAGATTTTCTTTGGGCTCTTGCAACAATAGAGTTGATGCAATAATAGAAGTCTTGTAACATCATCACTGAATGAGAAGCAGCCAGGTTTTTTTTTGTCTTCAAACTTAGGTGAACTTTTAGGGTTATTAGAAAAATCTCTATTTATATTCATAAAGTTTTCAGCCTTGATTTGGAAGTTGTGGAGAGAAAATTGACATGGAACCCAACATTATTTTCCTATAGATAAACTTCAGAACATAATTCCTGAATAGCAAGTAATTCATCATTTGCTATTAGCTAAATGGAGCTAATTCCTTACTGATTTTCCAGCATTAATTTGACCACAAGTTCCAAGTGGAAGAGAATGAAATAACTCTAGAAGACACTATAGTTGGGGGATTCTCTTCTGTACCTTTTAAAATTGAGGGCCAAGTTATGGTATAAATCAGCAGAAATTAATTGGTTTTAATGGAGCCATGCTAAACTATACCAGTGACTAGAGATCTTCAGTACCTTTGGGTTTCTGAGTTCCTACTTGAGAGGACTTTGATTTTCAGAAAGTTTCTAAGTATTTGCCTTCTGATCAGTCAAACACTCTACAGTTGCCTCACATTGAACACCCTAAATTGACCTACTCCATATCACCACTGACTTTTGAAATATGGGGCCTACATGTATCAGTTTGTGTGTTTTCAGAAGTGGTATGAAAAATATGTAATGTCCTTAACTCTGTGTATGTCAAAGGAGCAATAAAGGGTCATAGGACATCAGGTTCACAATTTATATAGTGATATACAATATGCACAAGAAACCCTGCCCAAGTTGAGATGTTAAGTGATGGACAGAAGCGGAAAACCATAGTGATGATGATAAATAAAATGCAAGTGCAGCATGCAATAGATGAACTGGCATTACAACTTTATTAAAATTGAAAGAGGAAAAAAGCTACTGTCTGAAGGGGGAAAAATAGCTGCTGCTGCCTGCATGTTAGGAATCAAAGCTGTGGAGAGACAAAGATAAAAAGTTTGGCAATAAATGTGTTGACAGTTCCATGACGGGAAAGTTGCATTTGAATGGTCACAAGAAGGTCTCTGGGCTCTGTGATTTGCTGCTGCATGACCACAATACCACTGTGGTTGTTCACTTTTTTTGTGGTGAAAAAACCCTCCTCGTTCCCGCTGATGATGGACAGCAGAATTTTATCCCCAGGGACAGCATTGGAAGGGCCCATGCGGAAAATGTCGGTGGGTACTTGAATGTTGGTAGGAAAAGAGAGGTGATAGTAGGTTATTCTCAAAGGCAGGCTCTGGCACTCCTTATTTTCATTACAAGACAAGCGCTCACAGCGACTGCAAGAAAAGTGAGAACACAAGACAAGAGGAAGATTAGCGTACATTCAGCAAGCGTGATAGTAAAGAAGGGCAGTGGGGTTGGGGAAAAGATATGCCAACTTTCATACAGTATCCATTCTCCATTATGGCTGACTCAATCATAATTCAATAGACATTTATTTAATTACGCCTGCAATTAGTGTTTTGTGCTCTTAGGAAACGGTTGTCTTTTCCACTAGCATTGGCCTTGCATCCACTGACATTTTACCAATGGGTGAAGCATTACCATAATTTAGTGTGCAATTGACTGGAGTTCTCTGTAGGGAAGTTTTAGCTATCATTTTGTTGCCATTTTTCATATGTGGTCTCGTACCTGCTTAAGACAAAGGAACTTCTTAAAGTGACTAATGATTTTGGGGTGCCCAGTTTAACAGAGCATAAGGCACTGGTTCTCAACAGGTGAGCCACAAGCTCCTTTTGAAGGTGCAGCAGGCTGCAAGAGTATAAGTACTCGCTCATCCTCACCTTGTCCCTGTGCAAGGAGGTAAGGGCAGGCTCGCCTCCGCCTGGTTCTAGTGCACAGAGGTAAACTTAAATTTGTTTCTGCTCATCCCTGTATGAGCTTGCTGCTTGCTCCTCCCCCTTCCCACTTTCCCCTCCCGCTCCACAGGGAGCTAAGCACAGGCTTGTCTGTGACTAGCTCCGATGCTGCTGAGAGGAGTTAAGTACTCACTTCTTCCCTTCCATCCCCCTCAGGAGTTGTGCTACAATAAATAAATTAGTCAGTGAATTGTTGTGCAATGCAATTCACATAGAAGCTAGGGAGGGGTGCCAGGAGCTTAAAAAGGTTGAGTCCACAGATTTGGCTTTAAACAGAATACCAGCCCCTTAAAAAAAACATTAATCTTGCAACAGTTTCTCTAAGCCAGGCTGAATTGAAGAGCATCAGACTTGCTAGTTAATCTTGGAAATGTGCATACCGTCATGGATCATGGCCTCTTTTTTTTTTTTTTTTTTTTTAAAGAAGGGCATTTATACATATACTTTTTTGTCCTGTGATATGCTAGAGATCCACTGCTTCAAAGCAGACTCAATTAATTAATTTCTGTAGCCATATCAGGCAAAAATTGTCACTTCTGCCTGCACCCTTTTCACCCTAACACTTTTTCAATGGAAAGGAGTAGCTGATTTGAGTTAATTGCCTTTCAAACTACATGTGTCAAGGGCTTTGCTGTTCTTCTTTTGCACGAGGTTTTGACTGTTATCAGTCAGAACTGCCTCAAATGCACATTGTTTTTAGCCACAGTGATCAGTGCCAACCTGTGCAACCAAGGAACTATGTACCTCCTGTTTAAGCAGGCACTGAAAGCCAGAACCCAGCTTCTCAGAAATGAGAGAACCTGGAGTTTTTGGGAGGAGGAAAGGGATTTTTTTTACAGCATATGCCCTAAATTAATTGCTGTACCCACCTAGAGACTCACTCAAAGGGATGACAAGTGAGGTTTCTGTATGCTGATAAGAAAGAAAGAGCAGGTTCTCTCTCGATACCTTACTGATTGCTGTTTTTCTAGTCTCCATACCACACAATCAATTCCACTGGATAACAACATGAGCCAATCGGGGTGGAAATAGGCAATAGACTTAGTCCTACCAGGGGTAAATCAGCCCCCAAGAGAGGGAAACTATCTTTTCTTTCTGCTACTGAGATAAAAGAAGCTACTTCTCTAAATGTAAAACAAACAGGTAAATGCATTATTGTTCATAGTGAATGGGAAACATTATAGTTTATCAACATGACATATCAGATCTTGATTAGCATCTTATAGGGTTGGGGGATTATCTTCATAGCATTACAGGTTCATATTATATATATGCACACACACACGAGGCCCATCTCCGATAGAGCCATGCATCAAGTATACTATACAAGATTTGCTAAACTCAACAGGAAAATTATATCCAGGTTTTACTACTACTTCTCTTGTTTAAGTATGTTAAACCAGTGCATTACCATCAACACAAGTCATGTCCTATGCATGTTTTCAGAACTCATCAGAACTAAAATATTTATTTGTGACGAAAAATAATTGTTGTTTTAAAAGGCTATTACCCATTACAAATGTTCTGGACTGGAAACATGGCTTGCTTCATACTACACACCATTAATTACTTGTTAAGAAACACAAATACCTGTTCTGTTTCTTCTGTTCAGAAGAACTCTATCTGCATTACATGGATCATAGGCCTTTGTATATGGATCACAATTCTGTAAGCAAGCAACACTGCTCTTTTGCTTGCCAGCATTCAAGATAACTGTGCCCGTTCCTGGAGCTCTGAGTGCATGCAGCTTCAATACTCTGACGGTCCTTGGCTCATGCATGTGTAACACCCACACACACTTGTGCTGTGTATGGCAGAGTGTATGCCTTTTGCCTTTGGCTGCTGTGTATTGTTTTGTGTGTAAGGGGGGGCTTATGTATTTACCTTCTCCCCTTCCCCCTATCCCCCACTTTTCTCCTCTGGTCCGTTGCTTTAAGGAGAAAACATACGATCTGGCCATGCAGGCAAGATGGCCCCTGTAGTTCTGGCCACATGTTCTGCATGTGGAAAGCTGGGGCCTTGTATCTGGGTAAGAAATGTAAAATCCTGTGGCCCAATTGGCCAGAGGGAGCAGAAGGTTCTCCAAGCAGATTGCTTGAGAGAGATTGAAGCATGGCACCCCTGACTGGACAAGGCTAAGATGATGTCATGCTAAGGGAGGTAAGATCAGCTAGGCTGGTTTGGAGGGGAGAGAAGCTGCTATGAGCTGCTGAACAGAGAACTCTTCTCTCTTCCTTTTCTTTCCCCTTTTCTGAGGTTTTAAAAAATTAATATCAGGGAAGAAGGTATTGAGTCCTTAGGTTGGCTGGTCAGGAATTGTGTATGGAAGTTTTTTAACAGGGTTCAAACCTAGGAGTTTCTAATTCTGCTAAATTGGCAAGGGTTGGGGCTTTACCAGCTTTGGGCTGGAGTTCAGGTTTGTAACCACCTGCTCCCAGTGAAGCTGTGTAACAGACTACCTGCAGCCCAGGCCCAGAAGGTAGGCTTGGCTTTCCCCCTTTGTTTCTTTTGATGGCCCTTGGCTCCACCCAAGATGTGTAGTTGGGGCCAACTGTAGCCACAGTTGCCCCCTCACACAACCTCTGTTTGGAGCAAAGATTGGTGTCCTACCACTTCTCTAGGAGCAGTTAGGGAGGGGCCCCTTGCTCCACAACTACACCACCAACCACAAGCAGCTTCCTAATGTGTGGTAAACTCCAGTCGTAAGACCGTTCCAGTGTGGACCCTGGATCTAACCCTCTGTGGAGCCCCAAGTCCCAGACTGGTCCGGGCTGGGGTGAAGTCTCTCTAAAGGGGTTCAACCTACGAACTGTAGTTGTCAAGAAAATGTTTATATTGTGTTTAAGCTTTTGTTCTTTTTTTGGGGGGGGGGGG